CAGGTACTGTGGTTTCTTCTAAACCATGACTGTAATTTTGGAAGGATTTGTTCTTTTTCTAAATGTTCTAGAATTTGTTTTATTGCTAATTTTTCCAGTACTTTTGATATCGCAGGCAAGACTGATATAGGTCTAAGCTCACTGAAGTCAGTAGGATTAAATTTTTTTGGCAATGGGTGTACTATACTAGTTTTCCATGCCAGAGGAAATTTGCCTGATCCTAATGATTCATTCATCAAGTGAGTTAAGGCACCAATTGCGTAAGGACAAACTGCTTTAATCATTAAAATACTCAAGTCGTCAACTCCAACTGCTCTAGAGGTTATTTAATTTATTGCCGTTTTAACATCCTTCTCTGAGACTTTTTTAAAGTTAAATAAATTAGTTATTCCTTTCTTCCTTTCTTTGTTATAAGAACCAATTAAGTGTGTGTCTGCATCAAAGAAACATCCCATTTTAACAAAGTAATCATTCATGTCATCAACTTTAAAAGTATTTGGGAGTTGTGTGTTACAGTTTTTTCCAATTAATCACTCTGTTTTAAACATTTCCAAAATGTTCTCGAATCTTTACAGTCTGCAAGGTAATCAGTAAAATATTTCTTTTTTGCCTTCCATATTACACCATTTAGTCTATTCCTAATTTTCTTGTACTCCGTCCAATCCTTATCTTGTCTAGTTTTCTTATACTTAGTTCTAAGTTTATTTTTTAATTTCGTTAACATGATCACTTCCACATTTCTCCAAGGTGATTTCCTCTTCGTAACTCGTTTTGTTACTAGAGGTGCTAATGCGTCATAAATGTCTTTCACATTGCTTGTAATAAATTCATTTATACAATCTACTCTAGTCATGTCTTTTACTTTTTCCCACTGTACACTTGCCAGTCTGGTAATCGCATCATTAAAGTTAAAGTGTTTAAAATCTCTATAAGTAATTAATTTCGCTGAGCTTTTTTCTTGTTTGCATTTTAATTTACAGTAAATTAACTTATGGTCGGTGATTTTCTGTTTCCTATAATCTATAAAATACTTGACGCATCAATTACGCCACACATATCCAGTTGAGTAGATTTTATTAGTGATAATGTGATCAATTAGTGTGGCTGACTTGGAAGTGACTCTTGTTGGTTCAGTTATATGTTGAACAGTGTCATATACTTTCAGCAGACGACGGAAATGTTTCGCTTCATAACAGGAAATCAATGTTTGTATCACCTAAACATATGACGGAGTCAATTTCAGCTGCAATGTCTACAAACAATGCCCGAAACAAGGAACCAAGACAAGTATAGCTAATTTGTGGTGGTCTGTACACGTTGGCTACGCCAAGTTTAGCACCTTTTGTTTGAAGGACCACCGAGATAAATTCTATGCATGGATCGACTCCTGTTAAATACCTTCTTTGGAAAACCAAGCCTTGCTTAATGTACAGGGCAACACCTCCACCTCCTTTTCCAGCTCTGTCAGCCCTGAGGAGTACGTATCCAGGAATCATTTACCTCGAAATGTATCGTCTAACCTTATCTTATATGCTGATGACACTACAGCAATAGTTAAATCAAATAATTTGCAAAATCTTAAACAAGAAATCAGTCTTTCTATTCTTAATTTATCTAATTGGTTTACAGCCAACGGGCTAAAACTTAATAATTCTAAAACACAGGTGATGTTATTTCAAACAATTCAGAATAGGCAAAACTCCACTGTTGAATTATCTTATGATAATAATATTATATCCTTTACTGAAAATGCAAAATTTTTGGGTTTAGAAATCGATAAGAATTTAACATGGAAAACACGCATAAAAATAGTTGGTAAATTAAATACGGCTTGCTTTCAAATGTATGTTTTGAGAAATGTAATAGATTTAAAAACTAAACTCACAGTGTACTATGCAATGTTCTTTTCTGTCTTGCAATACGGGATTGAATTATGGGGAGCAACTTCTTATTCTAAAGCAGTTTTCAAAATTCAGAAGAAATTTATAAGGATTTTATCATTTATGCCTAAAAGAACCTCATGCAGAGCTTTATTTGCTAAATATGAGATATTAACTTTGCTTTCACTTTATATATTTAAAATGATGGTGAATTTTAAAATTAATTATCAAATGTACAATGATAAACAAATCAGTCATCCATATCTTACACGCTCAACAAATTTTCAATATCCAAGACATCGCCTTTGTTTATATGAAAGATCTCCTTATTATATGGGATTAAGGCTTTACAACAGTCTACCCACTAATTTCAAAGAAATTAACAGTATTTCAAAATTTAAAAATGATTTCAAATGATACCTTTTACAGAAAAATTATTATAATATTTCCGATTATTTAAATGATAAGTAAATATATTTTAGTTTAAGCTATGTGGATTTTAGTTTTGTTATGTAACTTAGTGTTTAAGATCTCTGACAATATCACCTGTTTCACCAGCTAACGCTGGATCTGTGAAATGTTTTGTGATAATAAAGTAATATTTCATTTCATTTCTTTTCATTTCATTTCATTTCAATCTCCCGGAAAGTGAACCCGGCTTAAGCCAAGCTTCAGAAATACCGAACACATCAAAATCAAAGTCAATTGCCAGTGCAGTAATCTCAACAAAACCTGTGTTTAGAGAGCACATATTTAAATGAGCGATACACAGGTTTCTATTATTTCGTTTCCCGACAACTGGGGAGGGGCCGAACTTGAAGAGCCTAGACTCTCCCCAACCTCACAGTGAGAAGTTGGCTTCTCACTGTGAGGCAGGGGAGACTCCATGCTCAGGCCCGACGCCAGTGCCGGATCAACTGATTTGTGAGTAGCATGTGCTGCCGAGCCTCCAATCATGCGGAGGGACGCAGGAATCACCGCTTTAAATAAGGAGACCAGCCGCGACACACCACCCCTGTTAAGGTGTCTCCCATCACGAGCGAGGTGTCTCCGCGCAACCCAACATTTAGCCTCCACATGACATTAAAATTGTTGCACATAAGGTCAAGTTGCGTGTTAAAATCATAAGGAGCTTTGTATGTGATATCAGACCGAATTATTACGCTGTTTACATAGACTTTAGAATTTGGAAAATTTGTTGAAACTGTTTACATTAAAACAGCAAATCAGCCATGTCGTGGGGAGCCTCCTGCTTGCCATGACCTCTGTTGTAGCCAGGACCTCCCCTGTAACCCACCCTCAGGTTGTTCGTGCCGACATGAATATGTATTATATCTAGATCACAGTTGTTAATAGTTCCCGTTCGGGTAAAGTTAGTTGCAGCCGGAAATGAGTGGCAGCCTGCAGGTTTGCCTAGCTGATGATGACGTCAAAGCTCCGTTGCAGGTCTTGTCACCAAAGTTAAACCATGTGATGGTAAGTCAGTTGAGGTTAGAACAGGACATATAACTATACTTACAAGACACTTGCGACGGGACTAACTCGTAACTAAGGCGCCAAACAACAAAACAAATGTTCCTTACACTATGTGTATTGTCCAAACACTTTGCAATTACAAAAAAAAAAAAAGAAAAAGAAAAAAAAAAATGGTAAAATTAAAATATAACGAGATCATCAAATATCCACTATTAACTCTAGCAGTCAGTACTGCCAACCGTCCCTGATTCTCTCGGGGAGTAATCCCCTGATTCTTTTGAGCACGTACAGTTATAGTACAATAACTGACTGGCAGAGTTGGCATTTCCATTGTGCTGGAAAACAGCAAGGCTTGTGCTCTTAAGGAAGGGGAAAGGAGACCCAGAACTAACGTCCTCTTAGAGACCCCTCTGTATGTTGTATACCCCTGGGAAAGTCCTCGATAAGTTGATCCGTTCCCGACTAAATTCAGCCATGGTTGCTGCAGGGGACCTTAGCCCTCGTCAGAATTGATTTATAGGAAGGGGCCGTCAACCGTAATTGAAGAGGTGAAGCGAGCCGTGATGATAGCTGAGGATTTAGAGATATTGTGATACTATAAATTATATGACAAACCTCTCCGAGGACTGCACTATCACCATCACCACTTAACATTGCGCTCAGCTCAAGCCGCGTATATGGTTACACTCTAATACAAAAAAGTGAAGGTAATATATTTTTTCTAAAAACTAAAATTATATGTTCTTTTTTCTAAAAACATATTAATTTGTTTACCGGCATATGTTTTTTTTGGTGAAGCAGTACAATCAGCATCTGAATCTGACTCAGAACTCAAATCTAAATATTTTGACAACATGCTCACACAAGAAACTCAATAACATACTATAACGAGAACTGTATGAAACTATGCTTCCCAATATGCGATGTTAACTGTGCAACACTGATTTTTTTACCCAATGCTGCCTTCTGCTGTGTTGCACTGCACTGCCCGGACCATGCCGCACGGCTACGGATCAATATGTGCCGTATTAATAAAGTGCAAGCAAAGAGAGGCAAATTATGCAGCTTTTGGTGGTCCTAAAAATTAATACATAATTTCAGTACACTTTAATTCATCCTTTGTAATAAGGTATTTATCATCCTCCTGTAAGAAACTGACAGGAAAATGGAAGGAACAGTATAGAGAGAGGTCTTGAAATCATTGTCAAGAGAAGTACGGTAAATATTATATAGGACCAAGCCAGCAATCGAAATAATTTTAAAGGAGGAATTCTAACGTAATCCTGTAAAGCTTAGTTCCAATAATTTTTTTTTAGGAATAGACACAAAAATATTATTTTGAAAATCTATAGTTATTATATAGGAATTAATAAGTTACCTCAACATTTTAATTAGTTCCATAATATAAACAACCAAAAGAGGATGTCATGCTGGTTCGTTGGTATGTACAACCAGTTCTGTAATAGCCTTAAGTAAGAAAAGCATATTTAAAACAAATGTGCAAAAAACCAATAAATTAATAAAGTTTCAATTTATGCTCTAATTCTGCTAAACTAGTCGACTGTATTCAAATAGAACATTCTCATGTGCTATTTTAAATAAACCGCCAAAATGCCCGTCGCCTCCCACCAATAGCAGCTAAATATCGCGGAAAGGTTAGTCTGTTCCAGCAAATCGCAGTGCTTGTTCCTTTCCGTGTTGGCTGGAAGTTTTGTTTTACCATAATGGCAACCGTCGTAGAAGTATTTCTGTTTGATTTGTGAAAATGTCAGTGAATTTAGTTTGATCGTAGGAATATTCTTGTGTCAGAGGAACCATAGGTTTGTAGGTCTCACTATTATCACTAAAGTCGTCCCTATGTTTCTGCAACGCTGTTAGGTTTACAGTGACAAAAATAACCTGAAAATTTACTTCTTTTTGGTCACACGTCCACAGTTAAACTTATTTTTATTATATTTTCGTTGATATTATGATACTGTCTTTACACAAATCGAAAAGATCAATAAGCACCAAGCATAAAAAAACAGTTTCATTCTAGCTGTTGTTGCTGAAACAATAAATCAATCCTATGTCAAATAAAAAATTGTTATCAGTCAACATAACCTTACTTTATTGTTGTTGTCATTTGAACATTCAAACATTTTATTAAAAATACGTTTATGTCCTAAGAAAGGCTAGTGCTTGTATTTTATCCACCATATTCCTGTTAATCAAGGCTGTTAAGATACATCAATCACAGACCAAAATTACTTAAAATCAGTTCATTAAAATGAAAGGTTAGGCTGGTCATTGATCAATGGCTTGATGACATTGTAGCCTATATAACGTAGCCCTATTATTACTATTGTGTTGCATTGTTGGGTAAATGCATTGTTGGGTAAAGCATATTTCAGGATAGGTAACCTTCATCCGTGGTAGAAAGTGCACATAGGCTAGATGACCAGAAGTATTATGGAATGGAATATTAGTGCCCAAGGATTTCCAACTAAACACTTAAGGTAAGAAAATATATTCTTTTTTATGTTGTTTGGATGTTCTGTAAGTGCAGTGAAGTTAGGTTTTAACGTTATGGTACCATAAGCTTGATCAAGGTCTTTGGTTTTCAATGTTAGGTTAACTTAGTGAGTTAGGTTTATGTTCCAGACAATGTTTCCAATCAATTTAAGATGTGAAAGTCTTGCAAATGAATTCTTTTTTTGGTGGAATTATTGGGGTACCCTAATTTCTTTTCATTAAGTGCTAGAAACAAGAAGTTTTGCAATCAAAAGCACAAAATGTAAGGGTAAGAAATTCACAGATACCTAAGAGCTACGGGTTAAGTCTAGACCTATATATTATCACCAGTGTCAAATTAAAATTTTATTTTTGATTGCTTTTGAGTTGTTCTAGGTAGGTTTAATTTATTTGTGTAGGCCTATATTAAAAATGCTAGGCTGTCTTAACCACCCATTTACAATAGGTAGTGGTAGGAAGAGTATTAAAAAGTTGAAATCTTCTTTGGTTCTTGCCAACTTTTGTACCGGTATCAAAGTTAAATGGGGACCGTAACTTATCTAATCTAACGTAGACTCAACCTATTAATTATAAATACTTATAGCCTAATGCAGAATTCGGTAAGTAGATTTTTTTGTCACCTTTTTGCAGCAAGAGTTGACGTTATGCTTCTCCATTTAAAAAAAGGTCGATAGCTTGAGTAGTTTTTTATGACCCTGAAAGTTACGAGGGCGGTTTTTAAAGTAAGGGCCTGTTTGGTGGGGGATAAAATATGGCACTAGGAGGAAAAGCCTATGAAAATAGGTAATTAAATTGAAATACCACCCGATTCGGTCGGTAACCGAAAAAGCTTGCAAACGTCTTATAAACTAGATAATGATATAGGCCTACTGTAGGCCTAAGAGTCACTCGCCAGCGTTCATTGTTCTATAAGGAGATGGGGAAGGCGTTGTTCCAAGCCATGGTGTTCCATGCACAGAGGGGAAAATATCAGCTAAGGAAAAATGGATAGGCTATCTTGATCTTAAAGTAAGAGTCGACGCAAACAAAGGTCTTTCACAAAAAATCCCTTTGCGGTAGACTGATAAAGTCTACGTCCCCACGAATGAATGTCCTGAGAACCAGCTCATGAAACACGCACAAGAAGAACTCAAAGATTGAAGCACTGAGGAAATTAATTCAGCACAAACCACTGTATTATTTGAGAGATATGTAAGGAGACTTTAACTTAAGACAACTTTACAAAATAAAAGATAACTAGAGAAAGAGATAGTAATCCATAACGCCCATGGAAAGGATCGGACAAGAGAGAAAAAAAATAATTAGCCATATCGAACCGGCAACGAACAAACTAGGTACAACACCCTACTTAATTTTCATGTATAAGAGTACACTATGATAGGCAGGGAGGGGGACATCGTACGATACCTAGCCGGAAGCGATTTGCCACTATGTCTATCTCTGTCTCTGTCTGCCTTACCTATAAAACTACATTACAAAAATACCAAACATAAAATTAATATGTTATCCGTTGGAAAGTAATTATTTAGGTCTAATAAAATGATTTCCAATTAATATTTCTTATAGACTGAACAGTGCTGGTTTCACATATGAATCCGTAATTCGCTTGTACGCTGCAACAAAGCTCATCACAATTTACTGGCATTATTCATGAAGAGAAAGACACAAATTTCAGTTCTGTAACTGTCATTTACGCTTCACTGTGTGTTTAAAAAATGGTATAAACAATCAAATCTCAGCCCGCGTCTGACAGTGTTACAGTTTTTGATTACAATAAATGTAGGCTATTCAATGCTGACATTCATCGCCAAATGAATAAAAGGTGATGTCTGTTATGAAATAAGTTAGAGTAAATGTGCGGACAGAGTTAACTTATGTCGTGTAAAAATGGCTGTGAAAAAATTTTTCAATAGGTAGTGGTCTTCTTTGAAATGTCTGGGTACCCATAAAAAAATCAATTCCTTCTGGAATGAGCATTATCACGGCCATTTTTAAACTCCCTAGTCTATTTTTGCATTTTCCACGCTACTAGTATCTTTGCACGTATTCTTACTAGTATGACTGCTGGGACGGGTGGCGTCGTCCTGTAATCCTGCTACTAGGAGGTTACGAATTGTGGATATTTATAGGCATGCACTGTGGATGCGATACTCCCTGGTATGGATTAACGTCCGCACGAGTGAGTACTAAGACTATCCGCAGTACTATCCTGAAAATTATACCAATTCGTATACCAAGACAAAAATGTGGTTCGGATTCCACTATAAACTGTAGGTTCTTTAGTTGCCATTAGCTGTAGGCCTATGGACTATTAATTAACAGCTGTGTCTAAGGAATAAGTCGGCCTTAGTCACTAAAAAGACTACAAGATCCCGCCACTCATCCTACACTCATCTCCATTCATACTTGGCTTAAAATACCTACTTTGTATGGTCGCCATTTCATTGAAAAGTATAAAGTAGGCCTATCATAATCTCAAGCCATCCGGTGATGAATGTTGGTATTGGATATGTTTCTTCTAAAAAAAAAAACAACTTGACACTGGCCTTACCTGGAACAGGGTGAAAAATTTTATTTTTAAAAAATTATAAAAAAACACAGCAAAGCGTACATGACGGCTACAGAGCTGAAATTTGCGTAATTCTTTTCACTAATGATGCTAGTTAATGGTGATGAGACTCGTTGAGGCTCGTGTTGTCGTGATGAGGCTGCGTACAAGGCAACTATTGGCAATTACTTTAAAAATATGATGGTTCCTGGATTGCGAGCGAGGTCGATTCTGGACTCAGACACCATTTCTCATTGGGATATCAGTAAAACAGAAATAAGAAAAGTTATTACAAGAAGCCTGTGCTTGAAGATTAGAAAGCTAATTTGAGAATATCCTAATCTTTTTCTGATTGGTCCTGATCATTTCCGAGTTGTGGCTGAGCTTTTCTAAAATTAAATTTTACATTTTAATAATTGATAAAACTCACACCGGACACAAGGGTTTATATTTAACTCATATTTCGCTAGAATTATTTAGTCAGTAGGTACATAGCTTAATTTTTATTACGTTAGGCCTACAATAATCTTGTTCTTCTAAATGTCTTGTTGACTAGACACAGTTAACGACGCCATGAACTAATGTTTTCATCAGCCCAATCAATCCTAATTTATAATACTTCTACTTAAAACGTCTCCAAGTACCACCGCAGCGACCTCAGCGTTACTAGGTGGTACGCACACTACATGTTGGGAAAAGGTGGTGTAGGGTATCCACAATCATACTGGAAACCTTCCAAATCAAACATATGAGGTAGAAGTGAGTCTATAGTTTGCGTTTTACTGAAGTACACACTGATGAAGAATATGTACAGTAGACTTTTTCGTATCATAACACCTTTTAACTCGACATCCGGTTCAACTGGACTGCACTTTAAGGTTGATTCACACACATCAGTCCAGTCACAGTTCCGTTACAGACCAGTCACAGTTTTAGTCTCAGTTGAATCCGCAATTCCTCAGGCAACTGTCCGTCAGTTGGTTACAGTCAGTCTTCCGTCTCTAATATTTACATTGATGTTACAGTCAAATATTTAAAATTAAAACCCTATATTCTATCAAATTTTCACCGTCCATCTTGTTGATTGTTCCAAACAGTACTCAAAATATAAACACAATCATTTAAATAACAAAAACACTATTTTCTAACATCAATTGCCGTCAGGTGTCCAAACAATCCAAAAACATTGGTGGAAAGAAATCTGAAATTGACTGACGGACGCCGACAGAGCGACTGACGGACCTGCGCCAGATGATTTTAGATAACGCAATTGAAACACTATTTTCATAATCGTTAATCCATTAAAGAATATTTTGGTTGACTGTGACGTGACTGATATGTCTGAACTGTGACGTGCCGTAACTGATATGTGTGAATCTTTAACCCGACAATTTTTATCAGCTAATTGGTTTAACCGGACTGGATCGGTTAGAAGTAAGCAGTACTGAAACGACTTTTTTTTGTGGGACAAATTTTAGACCAGTGATGACGTATCCAAATACAATGCTCTCACAATTTTTAGAACATTTGGGTTAGTTCTCCAGTCATTCTCAGGTTTGATTTAAAAAACCATTTGCACCTATCTGTACTGGCCTGGTTCAGAGGAGATCAGAAAAGAGGGAGTCTTCTGTAGTTGATTCATCACAAAGTTTTCAATCCTCAACAATTTAATAGAATAAGTTACGCTAGTCGATCTTTTTAAAGATCATTTACAAAAATTAGTCTCAGTCATCCCCGCATTTACTATTTGTTTCAGCT